CAGTCGCAGCTGATATTGCACTGCAACAGAGAGACAAGTTCTTCCCGATTTTGTGTGATTTAATGATAGATGCTTGATAGGTAAACGGAATTTTATGATGGAGAGTGAAAAGGATAAGGGAATTAGGATAGTTTAAATTTCTGGGTATTTATTCATATGATGCACGTGTATCTGTTTAATTATTTTATATATTAATAAGTTCATTTATGTGCAGGGTCGGCTGTTTGACTGTGTATTTTCTTCTCTAGTAATGAATACAGATTGATTGAATGTTGCGACAATGTAGATGAAGAAAATTTATATATATATATATATATATATATTATATATATATAATATATATATATATATATATATATATATATGTGTGTGTGTGTGTGTGTGTGTGTGTGTGTGTGTGTGTGTGTTGTGTTGTGTGTGTGTGTGTGTGTGTGCGTGTGTATGAATATATATATATATTTAAGTATATAATCATTTGAATCACTTTAGGCTTCTAGGAAATAATCTGAATTCAATTTACCATCTTTTTTCATTTTGATATAATTGTTATTTTAATTTTTATCATATATTTGAGATGGATATCATTTGTATTATTAGCAGTAATGATATTATAGCACGTTTATGATGATGATGATGATTATAATCATAATTAGTGTTGTTCTTTTTGTTATTATTATCATTATCACCTCCACCTCCCTCTCTCCGTCTTCCCCTCCACCTCAATCACAACCCCCCACCCCCACCCCCCCTCACCACCACCATTATTTATCCTCCTCCTCGAGAGACAGCGTGAAGAGGCAACATGATTGGCAAAAAAAGACCTCAAGTGAAACGACAAAAGACGCAACGGAATTCGGATTTGAGAGTTTATATGTACACTCCCTTTGATCCCCGATGTTCCAGAACCTCTCGTAAGAAATAGGGTTTCAAGATTGATCGTATGAATGTCTTATATTTGTCTTTGAGAGGCCTAGTGTGTGTTTAGTTTGAAGGGGATGTGTGTACGTAAGGAGAGAGGTAGGGGGGAGGAGGAGGGGTAGCAGGAAACGGAATGGAAGGAGAGGGAGGGGGAATGAAAGAGGGAGAGAAAGAAAGGAAGAGAGACGGTTGAGGGAGCTAGGGAGTTAGAAGTTAAGAAGCAATGAAGTTAAGTAATGAGGAAGTGAGTGAGTTGGAAAAGCGAGTAAAGAGTGAGAGTAAGAGTGAGAATGTGGGAAAGTGAGATAGAGAGAAAGGGGGAAAGGGAGAAGGAGTGAGTGAAAGTAGGAGTAGAAGAGGAAAAAGGAGAGGGAGAGGGAGAGCAAGGAGAAGAAAAAATGGAAAGAAGAGGAAAAGGGAGAAAGAGAAGATGGAGAAGAAAACATAGGAGAAGGAAAAGGTGAAGGGGAGAGGGAGAGAGAGGATACAAAGACCTAAATAAAGCGAATAAAGAGAAGAGGATAGAAGAAAAGAGATAGAAAAACGAGAAGAGAAGACAAGACAAGACAAGAGGCGAGACGAAAAGACAAGACAAGACAAGACAAGACAAGAGACGAGAGAGGCCGAAGCCGAGACAAAGCAGCCGTGTAATAAGCCTACCCTCCCCTTCTTTCGCCCGGGAAATTTCAGAGAAACTTCAGGGATAAAAAATAATGGCCGCGAGAACTTAAAAAGACGGACAATTAACTGAACTCATTTTAAGGCCGTTTAGATGATAAAAACGTGATTGGCGATTCGTGTAAAAGAGACGATTTTTAAGCAGCAGAGCGCGAGGGAAGGAGAGGAAGAGGGGAAAAAAGGACGAGAAGAAAAAAGATGGAAGTGGAGGGAATAAAAATGAATCTAAATGGAAGGAAAAGCTAAGGAAGAAGGTTTAAAGGTCGTGAGAGATGATAATTAAGATGATAATTATTATGGTTATTTTTATGTGAGGAAAAAAAAGCAGATGCAAAAGGAAGGAAATTAAAAAGGATGGAATAAATGGGTAAGGAAAACGTTAGGAACGAATGTAAAAGAAAATAAGTTGATAAGTGTGATAACCTTATTATGAGGGTCATTGCGGGTTTCTTCTTGCATGATTTAAGGATATTGTTATCCTAAAACTTTATGCACGCACGCACGCAAACACACGCGCACGCACACGCACGCACACACACGCACGAACACACACACACGCACGGCACGCACCACGGCACGCACGCACGGACGGACGGACACGGACGGACGGACGGACGGACGACGACGGACGGGACGACGGACGCACGGACGGACACACACACACACACACACACCACACACCACACACACACACACACACACACACACACACACACACACACACACACACACACACACACACACACACACACACACACAGTTGTAGATGACCGAAATTTTAGGAAGAAAATTTAATAATCGCCTTTTTTAGGCTGTAAGAGCGATGATGAACTCAAATGACAACCGTTAAACTGTCTGAACAAAGAATTAGAACTTTTTGCACATCAAATCCTGTATCTCAGAC